GGGTGGTCCCCCTCCCTGGCAGGGTTCAAGCCCAGGTTGGATGGGGCTCTGAGCACCCTGGGCTGGTGGAAGGGGACCCTGCCCGTGGCAGGGGGGTTGGAACTGGGTGATCTGTAAGGTCCCTTCCAACCCAAACCATTCTCTGATTCCATGAATGTGCAGTACAAGGTACTTGTGGCTTTTAATTCAAGTCCAGGTGTTACCAGCAGCAGCTGAGATTTGAGAGAAAGCAAAAAAAAATGTGGTGCTTGTTTCTTCAAAGTAAAACAAAAAAAAAACCCAAAACACAAAAAAACAAGGCAAATGCAAGTTTTCCCCTGAGGGAGGCAGTCATGTATGGCTTTGTCAGTCTGAGCCACATTGCCTTTTACAACAGCCTGTTTGTTCCTTGCTTCCCACTCTGCACACGAAGTTATTCCCCATTTACCTCTTTGATGGACAGTCCGCAAAGCCTGTTGACTGCCTGACCCAGGTCAGGAGAGGGTACAGTTTCTCTCATGAAGTCCATGGCCTCAGAAGTCACCTACAACAGCAGCAGAAATATTCATCAGGTTGGACTGCACTCTGCATACGATGCCTGTAGGATAGTGGGTGGCGGTAGCTGTGGGTGCGTTGCCAGGGTGCCCTTGCTGTGTGCTTGTGTTGGTGGTTACAGGGCCTTCAGTGGGTGCAAGGAAGATGAGCAGATCTGTTACTGTCTGGAGACGGAAACAGGACTGTTCGTTCCTAGCTTGCATGTCACAGCCTTCCTGGCCCGTCTTGGGTAAGTAGACAAGTCCTTACGCACCTTGGCACCATGTCTGTGGGAAGCTCTCAGGAGCAGGGAGCTGGGGAAATTTCTGTAATTTCTCCCTCTGAAATGCACTCAGTTTGTCCTAGGATCTAGGAGGTGGTCCGGACTTAACCACTCAATGACTTTGGACACTAGATTCAGGGTCTCAAATATAAGCATGCTTGTGGTGGAGCATGCCCAGATCTTTGCCAAGGGAGTGGCAGAGGATCTTCAGCTTCAACACGTCCTTGGTATGGTAAGACCTTCTCAGCACACAACTCCTGACTGCCCTATGCTTGCTGGCTCACGTGAGGTCCTTTATGGCTCTGTGGAGCCCCAAAGTTTGTCTCAGAAGCTGACATTGCTGGAACATGGATGAAGAAAGCCCTGCCACAGTTGTTGGTGAGAAGCTGTGGTCCATGTTTGAACAGCTTTGTCGGGGGTGAGGGCAGGAGTGCATGTGTACAGCATTAGCACTCTGTGTGCAGTGTTAGCCAGAGCACTGGCCCTCTTGGCTAGCAGAGGGCACAGCATGGCTGTTCCCACTGTATTAATGACCAAACTGGTCCCATTTCATTGGTTCCCCATATCATTTGTCTAACCCAGTGTAGATGAGAACCCACCAGAAACCTGGTCCGGACAGGCTTGAAACCGCTGTTGAGGGAACGCTCGATGAAGCTGCAGGAGGAGGAAGAGTTGAGCAGGCTTTGCACGAGTCTCATGCAGGCGGTGAGATTGCTGGAGCCAGTGATGTTGAAGACCTCCTCAGGGCTGGGGATGTCTGATGTGTTATCACTGGCAGCACAAGGGCCGGCATGCACTGAACGCCACTGCACTTCCCGGTAGTAGGTGAGGGGCCAGCAGGGATTAGAGACAATTTTAGCACTCCTTTGCTCCTGGAGACGCAGGGTAAAACAGAGGCAGCAGGAGAGGACATTGGCATCCCAGGGCTTTGCAAAGGAAGACAAAATGTAACACAGGGAAGAACAGTTTTCCTCTGGCACCACGATGTCGTAATCGAGCAGGCAGGCTGCAAAAGGTTTGCCAAACCTTGTCGCAGCTACCACTGCAAGACTGGCGCAGCAGGCTCCCAGCTCCTGCAGAGCTCGGGGCGAGCTGGAATGCCCAGACCTGCTGTAGGAGGCTGAGGAGTCCCAGCCCTACCTGCTCTCCCTTAGACCAGAAATACCATTTCAATGAATTCTGTACTCTTTCTAGTTGCAAGAAAGAGGCTGTTCTGGTCTGCCTTCCAAATGGCTCAGCCCCTCGAGAGTCAGCGTTTGTCATCTCTAGGACTTCCCCAATAGAACTGTGGTGTAGTGAGTGTCAGTGTGGGACATTCAGGTCTCAACTAAGGGGAGGTGTGGTTTACAGGGAGGCAAGTGGATGGGCAGTAAGTAGTTTATTTTTGAAAAACTCAGTTTTGGTGGAGACTAAAATGATTCCTGAGTTTCCATCAGATCCTGCCAGTTCCCCCTAAAGTGAAACAAAGTTTGGAAGAATCAAAATACTTGTTTTCAAAATGAAATATTGCTCTTTAAATGACTGCTTCAGGGTTAAAGTCAGCAAAGACACAAATACCCCAGATGGAAGGTCCCAGCTGATTCCTGGGTGCTGCTGTTGAGGCTCCTATTCTAGGATGGAGGGGCAGTTCAGAGGAGCCAAGGGAAGTCTTTGCCTCACTCCACCCTGAAGGTGATCTTAGGACCTCTGGAGAGCAACTTTGTGCTCTTGTGTATTAAGTAAGGAACCAAATAGAGCCTGCAAGTAGGAAGCTCATGAATGGGCGCCTGTGTGCCTGCTTGGAGGGCGTTGATTCGGGCACAGAGAATACGTTTTACAAATGCACTGGGCTTTTTTAGATATATGCAGATGCCTTCTATTAAAGACAGTGAAATTTTGCCCATTAGCAGCTACAACTTATGGAACTGTCATTTAGTGATATTGTATCCAGGAACTTTGCAAATGCCCTTCTGACAGGTACTCACTTGGATGAGCATAGCGAGCAGCCTGCTGCGGAGCTGGTCCGTGCCGTGGCAGGGGCAGTGCTGAGTGTGCACATTGTGCGTCCCTCCATACAGCTGCAGCCTCACTCCCTCTTTTGGTGCCTGGTTCTCTTCTTCTACCTTGGAAGTGAGCCATGTTGAGCTTCCTCCCACGGACAGGACTCCTGCCGTCTCTTTCCCAGAGGGGACCAACTGTCCTCGCCAGTCGTACTGAGCCAAAAAGAACCAGAAAGGTCAGTTCTTAAAAGTTCTACATCTGGGTTGTGGTCAGATCCAAGCAGCTTTCTGCTACAGTACGGTCCAGCTTTTTTTTTTTTTCCCCTCAGGACTTAAGGATGCTACACTAGTGGCTTTGGAGGGAACAGAGGAGCCATTGTACAAGAACTACCATCTGTGCAGCGAGCTGCCCACAGCCAGCAAGAGCAAACAGGGCTCACCATCCTGGATGGCTGTTCCAGGCTGTGGTCTCGGCAGGTAGGAGCTGGGGAGAGAGGAGAGGATGGCGGTGGGAGAAAATGGGAAGCAGGTTTCCAGATGGGCAGACATGGGCTTCAAGTGCTGCACTGATGCTAAAGTGATCCTCCTGTCAGGAGAACTCAGTGGTTTCACCTCCTACTGTCTTGCAGAACTGTTTTTTGATAGCAGTACGGGCAGGAAGGTTTGTGCTGACTGCAGGGGTAAGCACTCTGTCCCTGGCCAGGGGAGGCTGTGCTGCTGCCGGCAGGGCTAGTGATTCCCTAACCAGCACATGCTTGCTGCTGGCTGTCAGAACTGGCTTTCACTTCCCTGCTGTGGAATAACTCCATCTAACCCACCTTTCTCTTGCCCTTGGAGTTCTTGAGATCCTTTGGCTTGAGAAGCTGTGGGTAGAGCAAGGAAACTAAATGTGTTCTCTCTGTTTAGTGTGTGCCTTCTGAATATAGACCCAGCCCCTGTGCTGGGGACACCCAGCTACACTCTCACTAGCATCCCAGTGAGAGGAAAATGGATGGGCTTTTGCTTTGGCAGCAAAAGCCTCTGCTTCTCTGTCCACCAGCTACAGGCTGTCCCTTGGGACAGTGGCAATCCCGCAGCACCCCACAGAGAGCAAGCAATGGCTGTTGGACAGAGGTGCTGAGCTAGAGCTGCAGGGATTCAGGGGAGTGGAGTTCTTGCTGACACCCCAGCGCCAGGCTATGTAGCATGTGCTCTCCAGAAAGCCTCACATCTGTCAGGGCTACTGCACGAACATGTCTGTGAAGGGCTATACTAGAGGTTTGGTCCTTCAGCCTTGTTTGAACCGTCCCACACTATGTCCCCCATCCAGCTGGTGTTGGAGGTAACCTGCCTCCTCTAAAAGACAGTGGAAGCTGTGCTTAAGGATTGCTTATAGTACAGGGCTTTAAAGATCCCGCCACATGTCTCTGTGGCTGTTTGCTAATGGGAATTGCTCAGCTCAGTTCTGTGCTCCCCAGGCAGGATTGTCCTTTACCTTGAAGAAGTTCTCCAGGACATAATTAACAGCAACCCAATTGAATGCTTCCTCATCTGCACTGGACAGGATTTGTGCCCCCTGAAAGTCAAAGGGGGATGACTTCAGGGCTGCAAGGAGACCATCAAAGAGGGTGGGATGGGTGAGGCTAAACACAAAAGAAAAAGAAGGCACATTTGTTGTTACAGGACCCTACCAGGAGCAGCCTGCAGTGGGGGCACAGCTGCAGGGCTTCTGCTGTGCTCCCCACTTTGAGTAGTAGTGCAGAGACACAATGACAATCCCACTCCTGCTGCTACTTCCCTCTTCCCTCACATGGCACTGGGGGCAAGAACAGCAGAGGGGTGATTTGAGCAGTTGTGCCACCGTTCAAGAATTTAGGAGTTCATTACCCTTTGCCACTGAGAGATCCTGTGGCCTTGCCCCACTGGCCTGGCCCCCTCCAGACCTTACTTTTCCCCAGTGTCTAAAAGGAGATAAAGGTCCCAGTAACGAGGTGACTGAGAACAGGATCCACAAAAGCGTGTCTGAGAAGGAGGATCTTCCCACCACTGCTCCCAACCTGCTGACGAGAAGCACCCCTGCAAGCCCATGTGGGTTGTCACATAAACTGAAAACATTTCAGCTTCGAGACTGACATGTTTTTCCAAGCCCTAATTGTGGAGGAGACTTTACACTGACTGGCAGCAAAAGCAAGACTGTCATCCTCATGGCTGGCTGGGGAGACAAGTACGAAGACACAGTCATGCCATACTCCCCTCGAGTGCGTGGGGACCTGAAGAAGGTTTACCTGACTAGCAGGTTAGGGATGGAACACACTGCAGTGCAGACAAGGTAAGATGCATTTACAGAATGATCCGCATGACGTGTGCTGATCTCTGGGTGTGGGTTTGCAACATTCACTCACTTCAGCTGCCTCGTGCTGGCGGTTGCTCCCAAGTAGAGGGGAGTTTGGCTGTGCTGCTCTGCCGGGATCTCTGTCTGAGCCCAGTTCAAACATGTCTCCAAGCTCTTCTCCACTTTCTGGTGAAAATTTGAGTAGGTGGAGACTCCTGGACCTGAGGACCAGCAGAAAGAATTAAATTCTCTAATGAAAGGTATGGGAGAAGTGTGAGAGCTGTTACCCAAGAGATTGCTGTCCCAGGGCATGGTTAAAGAAAGGACCTGTCACAGGCGGAATGAAGGAGTTCCTCCAGGTAGCCATCCTGCTAAAATATGATATGGGGAGCAGAACAGCACAGGTGTGTAAATCCCAAATTGCACAAAAAGAACCCTAGCTCTTCTGCTGAGTCTTCCTGTGGATGACCACGTATCAGCCACATAACTACTGCAACAGCTGAGGCTGTCTCAGCCCACAGAGGAGTAACTGTGGCTTTAGCTGCTATAAAACATAAGCAAAAGGCCACACTGCCATGCAGACAGAGCTGAGGGTGATGTGTCAGCTCTCTCCTCCGGCCACTTCCTCTTGTGTTGGCGGAGGTGGCTTCCGAGCCCTGCGCCTGCAAGCAAGACACCTCTGCTCTAGAGGAAGCTAGTGCTGTGCAGAGAGAAATTGTGTGCAAGCCCTGACTCATATTTCCAGCAAGATTCAATGGGGTCTTAAATGCTGGGTTTGCACTGCTACCCAGAAAGAACCTCACTTCCCTGTCTTCTGGCTGCGTGACTCCCTCACCATGTGCTCTGCTCTGCCCTCCAACAGGGCTGAGCTGCAGCTTGCCTACAGCCCCTCAAAGGCTGTGACCATCCTGCCATGCCGACCAAAGGCAAATACATCTGGGAGAGAGACGTGCCTGGACCTCTTGCTGCTGCTGACACACTCTTGCAGCAGCACATTCAAAGAACACTTCAAGCACCAAGCTACAGTCGCAGTTTTTAACCCAGCTGGTAAACATGGCAGCAGTCAAGGGACACATACAAGGTTTCAAGGAGCCTTTATTGCATCTTCTGTATGTGGTTTGTATTGCTTACAGTCTGCAAGGGTACGAACCTTCTTCCCTGCCTGCTGCGCAGATGTCCTCCCACAGCACGATGCTACTGAGAGTTCAGGGTTTCCCAGCATCCTGCTATAATCGGGCTTCAACATCAAAGCCACACTGAGAGATATAGAAGGAAAACCCCAAGCGATCATGCATGAAACCCTGTCAGCTGGCTTTGGTGGGGCCAAACTAATTCGAACTAATGAGGATGACCTCAATATTCTCCAAAATGGGACACCTAAAACCAAACTGAACCCGTGCTGTCAAACCTTGCATAGGGGGTTGAAGTCTTCACAGCTCTATTGTCCCTTTACTTCCCAGAGTACAGTCAGGAGGAGGCAGAAGATACCAGGAGTCACCCTGCAGCCGGACTTGGCTTTGTTGCTGTTCAGTGTCTCCCCTGGGTGAGTAGCTCAGCAACCCTGGCTCTGCCACTGATCCATGTGGACATCAGGACCAGCCCCAGACCCTCTGTGTGCTTCCCTACCTGCGGGAGGCCAAAAATCCTGTCACCTGCTACTGCTGGGTGCTCTGAGGTCCAGCTGTGTATGGCTAAATCTGCCCGTGTTGAGGAGACCCATGCTGAAAATAAGCAGCCTGTGCTTCACTGTCACTGCTATTTCCATGTACAGCTGGATGCTACAGGAGCCAGGGAAATTGCAGCAATGGTCCATGCACAGATCTCTAGGCTTCCATCCATCCCATGCCAGTCCCACAGACCACCGAGCGTGAACCGGGCACCTTACCTTGCGCAAGACAGGAACTGCATTCCCTGATCACCCCAGTTTTGTTTGCCTTGGTGGTGGTCCACTGGTAGATGAACAGGATGGTGCGGGATGGGCCAGCATCCAGAACAATGCCATACTGGAAAAACCCCAAAACGTTCTAGATAAACACCACTGAATGCACGCTGCTTTGTTATTGTAGGGTTGCTTAGCGTTCCACAGGTATTCTGGGGAACCCATGGGCCTGCACTGCAGTATTGGAGTTAGCTTTTACGTTCAAAGAAAGGATGAAGCCAGTAGATGATGTGGATTTGTAGGGAACCATCTGCATTTCTGAATATACATGAGGAGCAGCAGGAGGAGAGAAACACCCAGACATACGTCAGACCTATGGTAGCATGCTCTGTAGCTGTTCCTGAAATCAAGTAGAGGGCTTCCACTGAGAGCTGAGCCACCTGGAGCTCTGGAAAAACAGGTCTTTAAGCAGTGGGCAATGGCACTATACAGGCCCTCGACTGATTCTGGGACTCAAACTGCTGCTGAATTGGTTTGCTAAAGAGATAAGGGTTTCATGCAGCAATTAGAGGGCTGCGGCTTGGTCCTGCTTCTGAGGAACCCGAGACTCCCACATCTGCTTGACGCCACGTTGCAGAGACGGTGTGACACGGGCTGGGTTTGCCCCGATGCGTGCCAGATCTGTGGGAGCTGCAGGGTGCTGGGACCGATCAGCACGTACACTGTCCAGCGCAGCAGCCCTGGGGAGACCGAGATGATGTCCTGGCAGAAACAGCCGCAGCAGACGTGGTATTTCTCGACCCCTCATCCACTGGCAGTTCTCCTATTGCCTAGCAGTGAGGCTGAGGGCTGGCTTCGTCCCTTTGCAGGCCAGCATCTGGTCTCTGCTGATGACCAAGCCTTGCTGAGCTGCACCTCATACGTGAGGGTTAGGAAGTGAGAGGCAATTGGGGTACCCTGCAGCACAGCTCCGTGGCTGTTCTGGATAGCCCCGCTGCTAGCCTAGGGTCTCCTCCTCTCCCCCCTGTTACAGGACCCCGAACTGGGACATCTCCTACACAGACAGGAAAGAAACTCATGAGGTCTGGGAGGTATGTGGTAGCGCAGAGTCTAAGCTGTATCTTGCACAGAAATAGTAGTAGCTGTGACTGAGTGGGAGGAGAAACCTCCTGAGAAGTTGATGTTAGCACCATCGGAAGGGTTTTAGGACAAGACAGAGCCTGGCTGCAGACTCCGAACGAAGCTGGCTGCCTGCTGCCTTCCTGGGAGCTCCCAGCTGCACCAGACACACCGCCTGGGCCAGGGGCTGGTGGGACTGGAGCTGAAGCAGAAATGCGGAAGGAGGACGGAGCTCCCTTCCCAAGCCTGCTGGCATCCTCCCACACGAGTGACAGCTCGTATTTCTCACAGGGACGTGTCAGCTGCCACAGAAGAGGAAGAAACCAATGGTATTGGCAAAGAAACTTGGATTTTTTTTCTTCACTCACAAAATGAGAGGCTGCTGTTGAGAGCACAAGGGAGGAGAAGGGATTGCTGTGTTTCTGCCCCAGCTCAACACCAGGGAAGGGCAGAGTGCTTGCTGGGCAGAGCATGGAGCAGCAAGAGGTTTTTATAATCCAATTTTGTTTCTGAGAGGAGCGTGGAGGAGGGGTAGCATCTCTGTGCGTGCAGGCTAACTTAATTCTGTTCGAGTAAACCATCGCGTGCCACTGATCTCACCTCAGCGGTGGTGCGTCGAGAGGCAGAGCGGATGGGCATTAACCCCCTGGTCACCAGGCAGGTCTGACCCCGCTGCGCAGAGCAGGTTGGCTGTTCGGTTAAAATCAGCAGAGAACAGAAGAGGAAATGGCATGGAAGAGGTTTTTAGTTTGGTGTTTTTTTTTTTTTTTTTCAAAACCAAAAAAGCCAGTCAGGGGCAAAATTC